TTGTGTTCGGTATCGTGTCTTCGGGTAAAATCAACACTTCATGGAATAAATTTAATAATTTTTTTACATAAATGTAAACACATTAAACACATGTATTGATGAGAGTTTGAACCGCTGACCTGGCTCATAACAAAAAAATTTTAGACCTGGTCAAACATAACCTTACTATAAAGTCCACTTATATAAACATTAAGCCAATATAAAGGTTCATTATTTCAAAATGAATTAAATATTTTAACGATTTAACACAATATTAAATGTGGCATAAATTACTTTATGTTTAAAATGTATGACATTTAAGGGACATTGCATTCGTATTATTTCATGATTTCGTTCAACGATTGCATAATTTTGTAATACATTTGTAATATTAATTCAAAGAATAAATTGTGTGCAAAATTTCACCATAATTTCCAAATTAGTCTTAACTCAAACGAATCATTGAATTTTTGAAATTATTTTGCATTCTAATGAATTTTCAGTTGTCTCTCATTCATAATCCTTTTTCATAAGTAAACAAGGATTACACAGCGATGTATACGTTAACCATAATTCGGGTGATGATCAAAGAACACATTAGACTTATATACAGATTTAATATGAGTCTCATAGACTTAACATTAGCTTATAGAATTAGCAATCTCCATAGGGTTAGCATTAGTACCATAGACTTAGCATTGTCCATAGAATAAGCATTAATATCGTAGAGTTAACATTGTTCATAGGATTAGTATTAGTCTCATAAGATTGACATTTCCCATAGGATAACATTAGCCCATGTTAAAGTATAGCCATAGACTTAAGCTGGGATTTTATAGTAAATCCCGTAAGGTGGAGAGGGGAACTGAAGATTCTATAAATAACATTATTCACAGTTTATCTGAATTGTGGTAAAAAGATAATTATTTTTTGGCAAAAAGTCTCCAAAAATATAAATAACTGCCAAATAGTTTACATAAAATGTTTCACTCAAATAGAAATCTTGGATTATTCTCAACACAAGTCGTCTTATATTTAAATTTCTAATTAATGAGTGAATCCTTGCTTTTATATTAAATCTTATGACTATATTGTATGCGTTTTTAACATTATATCTAATCTTTTAATCCATTAAATTGTATCCAATAGTCATTCATAACACAAATCACACCCAATATTACATTTTGAAAAAATAGTTTGTGTGTGATTTTTATAAATAAATATTAAATATTATTATTATGTTATAATAAATTATAAGCGTTTCATACGTAAGCAAAAATTTTCAATGGATTAACAAAAATATTAATTAAATTTTCATAAAAGAAATGTAAGTCCAAATATTTTATGAATTCAAAAGTTTGCATTTAAAAAATAAATTTCAACCAAATTCATTAATATCTGATACTAATACTGTATACAAATATATTTTACATTACAATACTATACATTTTACTGTTGTATTTATGTAAATATGATGTTAAATATATAGTCAGGAATAATGTAAAATAATGATGAATTCAAGACATTTCTCAAATCATTTATTATATATTAAGCCCTGAATTCTGGGAATTATTTATGCATTAACGCTGTTATCGATAGTGAAAGTCATGGAAATAATTGGTTTTTCAAATTTATCACTTCGTGTTATAGTAAACAGAATCGCAAATAACATACAATTGAATGACTGATTGGACGCACATTCAAAATATTGTGATTGATTTTTATGTTTTGAATTATTTAATGCAGAATTAATCTAATTATGAATTAATGGTAATTTCAAATACAAGAATTTATAATAAAAATATTCCTGTATTTTACTAATTATTTATATGATGTCATAAACCCGTAAATCGGAAGTAATTTATTAAAATCCAATTATAGATATGAAAATATGCTATATTTATTTAACCATATGTAAGTTATTCAGTATACATGTATCTCCAAATCTATGACAGTATGCATGAGTTAATCTGGATCGCTTAAAAAAGTTGAGATTAGATATGAGAGCATCTTGATTATATCAATTTAAAAATTTGTTTTTAGATATTATAAATTTTGAGAGAAATTTACTTTATTATAATGTTTTGGTCATATTTTCTGATGTTTTAGACAATCATATTTTTAATTAAATATAAAATTATACTAATTTATCATTTTATAAGTTATGTACGAATTAAATGAATTGTTATGGAAGTAAGAAAATATTGTTTATATAAGGCAAGGGATAGTTTTTATTACAATCATTAGCACTAATTTATTATGCAATTCATGTAATGATAGCAAGAATTGTTTGTTTTTTGCAATAGATTTTATTTATTTTTATAAAGTATAAATAAAATTGATTTTCATTTGTAAACATTTAAAGCAAACAATTTTTAGTTAATGAATACATTTCTTTTAATGAACTAAAATTTATATTATTTTATTGTTGGAATAAGAAATGTAATTAACATTTAAAAATTATTATACAGACTATTAGTTAACATACAGATCGTTAAATAATATTTTCTTTGCAACTTATTTCAATTTTTATTCTTAAATATGAGTGCATTATATTGTGAGTTCACTTTTGGATATTTCAATTTTGTTAACATAACAATGTCTTAACATTTATTGAGTTTTTAAGTCTACTATTGATGTGGAATTATTCAACAATTTTCATATTTTAACAATTGTTTAACAATTCTGTAGACATGAATATAAGGGCCAAATCTATCAGTACTTGAAAAGAAAGAGAATCTAAATATCATCTGACATTTAATGACACTTTATATCCGCATAATTTGCATAGATTTATCAAAAATACATATTATTGTGCGTAGTTTTACCACGTACATTGTGTATATGATCTGATCATTATCTCAACGCTCATTAATATATAAAGTTTATTACAAGAATTTATTTGAAAAATGCATAAATCGATAATAATATTAATTATTGTGACGACAATTGATTTTATTGTAATGCATGGGAAGAAGAATCCATTGGAAGAAATTGAGGTGAAATGAGAAGCGATGGGAATATACTGTATGTCTATATTTCGTGTCTTCGTTTTGCAGACAAATTTCGGTATATTCTTGAGGTTCATATGAGACCGACTCCAACCCAAGTGCTCAGTCAGTACAGCCGATACACACACTCCGCCACTCAATCTCAATGCATTCATACCTCAGCTCAGGCTCACAACCCGTACTCACACAACACATACAACACATACAGTACACCATATAATACACGCACTTGTGTTTCACTATCAATACATTCGCTAATATTAAGTCAAACTACACATTATTTTTAGTTAATGTTGAAGACGTTTGAGTGAAACAATAGTTATATATTTTTGTATTGTCTGTATTTGTTGTTTAAACGATAATTTGTGTGCAAATAGTGTGCTATTCTGTTAATAAACAGAAAAAGATTGCATTCAATTAATTTTCAATGTAATGATTGATATAAATTCTGTTGTATTGTTGTGCCCTAAATAGTGACTACATATACGGATAAATATATAGTGAAAATATTACCTCAAAATATACGCTATACTTATAATAATAATAATGCCAATAATATATTCCAGTGCTCTTAGCCTTTAAAAAAGATCAATAGTATAAGTATTGACATAATATTGAATAATATAATGTATGGATGTATTCAGTTGTGGTCTATTTTAGACTATTGTCTCTCCATTTTTGTTATTATTATTGATGTGAACCATAACTGAAGCCTAATATTAATAAATTCATTGTTACTTTCAATAAGTTTACGTTAGACTTTAAATTAAACTGTTTCAGTATTTAGTTTCTAATACTATTAATAATAATTAATCATCTTTACTGTAATGTGTATATAATATCAAAGCGTATTTAATATCAAAATCATAATCAAATTATTTAAGTAGAAGTTTAAGCAAAAATATTTCAAATTCTGTGTCTGAAGTGATCGGAGACAACATTTCTATGGGAAATATGTGGTGAACGGTTGGGTCGCGCAGTACTCATATCTCTGTGATGTTGGGCTACGATCTGAGCAAGACTTTTGTCTCTTATATTCTATGTATATAATATACTGTATATATAAATTTGAAAGTATCTATTTTGGTGCTGTTGTCCTCTTGTAATAACAACACATTTATATAACGAAAAGTCCCTCAAAAACTGTAGTCACAAGAGTTAGGGAATGAGAAAACATTTTGAATTCAACATGAGTTTGAATTGACTCGTTATAAATCATATACGAATCATTGCATCAAATGCCTGATACTATTCCTACTTTTTTCTGCTCTATTTTTTTGCTGTTTTACTCAATACTGACAAAAAAGTGAATTTCCATTAAATAAACAAAAAGTTCACGACTAAAACAGATTGCGATTTAGCGCTTTATCTCTGCCATTATCTTGTGATTAGTGTCTCGTATTAAGTATTTCAACAAATATTTAATATAAAGAATAACTATTGTTATGTCAACTAAACCGTAAATATATCGATGGTTTATGTATTTGTGAGTATTTAGGAAATCTCATACTACTGTATATGATTGAGCAGAAAATATATATATATTTATATTTGCCAGAATTTGGCGAATTCTTCGCTTTATATTTGTAAGTTTAATCAATTTTTCTCGTTTTTCCCAAAAATATACACAACAATCGACTATTTTTGGTTTTGCAGCAATTTTTCATAAACTCAAACACATTTATAGTCATGTAATATATTAGACATAAGGAAACAATATTTCATCGATAAATATATACGTATATATTATACGACATACGAAATAATAAGACATTTTGTTGTGCATATATTTAGTCAACGATTGACTAACGAGAAAAAACATGATAAGACTTTTCATTTGAAACCATTTGATCACAAAATTCGTGATTAACGTGCGTTTGTCAGCAATATATCTGTCGTCTCAGCGCTTCTTCGTATTGTCCAAACAAATTATTAGTGTTTACTCTATTCCTCTGGTCTTAAGTGAATCGTCCAATCGTTTCCAATCTGTGTTTCAAATCTTGTTTCCGAATATTCTGTAAGAAAATGGCAAATGAAGGCCAGGAAACGGAAGGCAGGATTCCGCGGACATTAAGCACATCTGCTCTCAGAATCAAAAACAGATATTCATTTTGGGAGAGATTGCACTCAACGCCCCGTAGAGGCGGCCCATCCGGGTATGATATCGTTGACCATAAACTCAACATTTCATTTACTTTCACTTTTTTTTAATTCAATTAATGTTTTATACATTTCTCATATTTTCTGAAAAATGTTATTACTGTTTACGTTAAGACATGCACTCAAATATTGTTTGACTTTAAAATACTGCTTTTAAAGCCTAATGTGTTTTAATAATGTGATTATTTTTAGCCCATACGACGACTCTATTTACTCTCTTTCCATACATTGTACTTATTTATCAGACATTATATCATAACTTATTTTAACAATTTCTGTAATGAAAAATAAGTAAATAATTTCTGTAATGTAAATATATTTCAAATTATTGGTAAAAATGTATTTTTTTTCAACGCTTTGAACGCTAGACAACACTTATTATATAATTTTTCTCAAAATATAATTTAATTTTGTTATAAAATTCAATTGTATTTGAGTTCACTAAAGAATGTGCTCTTCTTCTTGTGTTTTAAATGAATTTAGCCGTTCTGTCGGTAAAGCCTTTTTCAGATCACTACAGATAATAGTAAATATTAGACATAGCAGAGAGAGAGAGAGAGAGAGAGAGAGAGAGAGAGTTGACATAAAACCTATATTTTATTTATCTAAATGTATAATATTTTTTATTGCTTTTATTTCTTTTGTGGTAAATATTTTATTTGTTTAATAATCTTTGAGAGAGAGAGAGAGAGAGAGAGAGAGAGAGAGAGACTGAATTTACTGATCAATAAGTCTGAAAGCAATGGTTATACTTAATATTGAAAGCAGTTTTATTGTATTATATGTGGTCTGAATGTAAGTAAAATTTCTTTAGTATCAGTGAAGAACCGTTTTGCAGAATAACGGCATTATTATTGTCTCTATTTTACGAACAAATTCCATAAAAATACAATTCATCTCATTTTCACCACTTTCTTGAATCTAATCTACTTATATAAGAGAAATATAACTTTTATAAACATCAAATTGAGCTAATTATTAATAGAAATCACTACAAAATCAAATATATATTTATTATTTGAGAATCGTTTCGATTTTTACAATTTCTTGCAATTTTAACGATTTTATATTTTTGATAAAAATTTAATCTCCTTTTTAGAGACATTATTTCAGACAATTTATGTCTCAAAATGTAAAGAAATAATAATACAGTTACTGTATTACAGTATATGAGAAAATATAAGAGAATTTATTTATTCGTTAGAGTATTGATTGATTTAAACATTAGCCGAAAGGTTTTGAAATCCATTGAGATTTCTTTAATTGAATTTTCATTAAATATATTGCAAAATGTGATGTTTGAGTAAAGCATTGGGGTTTCAGTACAGTATTACAGTATTATTTATGAGTACTGTATTAAACGTATAGCACTCCCATTACCCCTGACTTTTATGCCAATTCTTTATAAGTTTCTAAATATAAATTTAATTATAATTATACTTTAATTCTTAAAATATAAAAATTTAAATCAAAAACGTTTTTCGCAAAACATTAAATGCAATGTATTTTCTACGGAAAAAATAAATAGAAACAAAGTTGTGATGAAATTTCGTTAAAAAATTAGCCATACATTAAAAACAATGATTCACTTCAATGGAAATGAGTTGTGATTTGAGTCTCGTTTTCATTCTTGTATTTAATGTGTTTTCTTACAAAAAATAATACTTGAATTAAATAAAAATGTTTTCTCTCACTTTCACTACCGCTTCTATCGATCGGATCTTCACTTTTATTCAGTGAAACAGTATTACTGTTGAGAACTTTTCCTCCAGTTTTCTTGCGTTCATATATTATTTGAAATACTTTTTATGGAGTAATCCCTGGCCTTAATATTCACGACTTATGCGATACAATAAAAAGATTTTGCTTAACATTTACTTGAAGTAAATTCTTAAATATAAACTTAAAAGTTTAGTCTCAATGCTAATTACATACAATTTGAGAAAGAGTTTAATTAATCAGATTTAAAGAGAAATTGAAATTCTTATTTAAATCACTGGGAAATACATGCAAATAATGTTATGTTTGAGCCGTTTATACTTATTGTGGGCTAAGTCTGGGATGAAATAATTAAATCTAATTGAAATACTCATTAAAAATATTTATACAATCAATTCGCGTTTAAACAACATAAATATTTAATATAATTTAAACGAATTTAATTGCATTAATACCAGTACTCATTGTAATTAGAGGTGGTTCACAAACTATGCTCGCAATTGGGGGGAGGGGGTTTCGGCCAAAGCGAATTTTTGCAAGCGATTCTAAGGGAGTTTAAGTACAAACTTTTATCAAAGTGATAACAAATTGTGAATATATAATATATACTACTATAATATTATACTACTTTTATTTCCCGTTTTTAAATAGAGTGATATTGAGGGTGAGGTTGTTAGGGACAATTTTGTAACGTAATTTTTTTAATGACTACATGTGAACTTAATGGGGAGGGGGTCTATTTCTTAAAAAGTGCCAACGTAGTATGTGAATCACCCCTATTAATGTTTTATCTATGATTTGTTGTATTAAACGAGTTATTCTTAGAATACAAATGAGTTCATAGGAAACAATACATGTGTGTCTGTAATATACAGAATAATCTTCTTTGAGTATAATTTCTTTCGTCTTAAAGTGAGTCCAAAAGAGTAGAAATACTGATACAGTATTATAATTATTATAGTGAGAGTGAAATTCATTGCAAGCATTAATTAATGCTAATGAGAGGTCTTTTCAAATTTAAAATTTTTTAATTATATCTCATTTATAGGAAAATTTTTGCAAACAATAGACAATAATTGGGTGCAATGTTTAAATCAATACTCGAATATAATATTCTTATATCATGCTCATAATGATTAGGAATTTATTTAAACAATTGTTAATATTATACTGTCTAATGTAGTATTAACATTTAACTATTTTGATATATTTTATTTTTAGTCTAGAATAATTATTAGATTAAAAATAAATGAAAATTCAACTATTAATGTATTAAATTATTGTCGAATCCAATGTATTTTTATGCCAATTAATTTTAGATACTTTTATTTTTATTTACCAATTATATTCTAATGATTGCATTAATTCAGCAAATTATTACATCATTATTTGACTTTCAAATGATTGCACGAACTTAAAGAATTTGAACCATGTGACATTATCTCTAAATGTAAATTATTAAATGAATTCATTTTGGGTAAAAGGTTTGCCAAAAATACACTATTTTATCAAAAGGTTATGACAATGTATTACAAACGACATTTGAGACTAACAGTTATTACACCCACAGCCCAACCCCACAATCAACCTACAAATGAACAATGTACTTTTCATATTCTTGTATTTAACATCCTCATTTAAGATCTTTTTATAACTTTGTAAAATTAGATATCTCTATTACTTTTGCCTAAATATTAGATAAATTGAATAATAATAATAATAGTAATGCAATCTATAAATACATTTATCGTATATAAACGGAAACATCAAGTGTTTCCCATATGTTTGCCCACATATAGTGAGCATTTGATGATTATTACAGTATTGCTATTCTGGTTGTCAGTAGTACTGAGCAAATATGAAGGTATCTCACAGAATGTACTGTGTATTGAAATTCTTCATAGAGTCATCCCTAAAGGTCTGAATTAACAAACTTTATATTTAATAATAGACTCACAAAATTAGAGATACAAAAAAATGCTTGAATTCAACCCAATTCTGGGCTGAAATGGTCTTAAAAGAGTAATTGATTGTCTCTTCTTTTTCGTTGTGTTTCTCTTTATTATAAGACTTGTATTTTGAGTGAAGATTCAATAAATCAATTTAAAGTTTACACTAGTATTGTGTTTATATAGCCTTTAATCCATTTAAACTCTATTGAATTACATGACATTTGAGGGAAACACGAGTCGCGCGAAGTTTAATGAAAATTTTTGACACCATTTCTTGTGTTAAGACAGAAGAATAAAGTAATCTTACGATTCGTTTGCATTTTCTGAGATTTTTTTGTGTTTGCAGTGAATCTCATTTTATTTTTTATTTTTCTAACTTTGAAATTATAATCCCATTTAAAGGAATATATTCTATAGTAATAAAATTTGGGATTTTATTTTATTATTTTATTGTGTTTTATTTAGTTGCCAATTTGTTTGTAGAGACATAATTATAAATATGCATCAATTAAACATAATGCAATTACATTTTTACAGATTTTGTGAGTTTTATAAATTTATTTTCACTTACTTTAAGTTTAACTGTATTTTCACTTTTAAGTTGGACTTAATTTTCATTATGTTTTAGGGATTATCTATAATAAGCAGAAATAATAATTTAAATTTATTATATAATAAATTAAATCTTTGATTACATGTTATCATAATAATTAATTGCATTGAAAAAAATCGGTGCAACGCTTTTTGTATTAATCCTTTAAAATAAATTGAAATCCTAATCAATTTTCATACGGTTTAGAAATGTTTGTTAATTTAGTCAACATTTCATGCATTTTAAACACAAATAGATTTGAATATTGAAATGAAATAAAAGTTTAAACTTAATGTTCAAATATTTTCAGCAACGCTTAAACACAAGTATTTTATTACTACTAAAAGTATTAAAAATAAATCTAATTAATGACACTAAAAGTCTGTTTTGTCTCTCAAATGGTTTGTCTCTTCAAATTTTAAATTTTAATGATTACATCAGATTATAGTTCACTTAATTCGCCCTTAAATTTAAATCAATAATTAAAACAATAAAATAATGCATTTTGAGAGAGAGACTTAAAAATGTTAGTAATTGAAAACTATTTTAATCTACAGTAAATAAAATGAAAACTTTTTAATACTAATTAAAACGATTTATTAATTATAATGAGCTACAAAGTGTACAGTATGAGCGCATAATGTAGTTGTCAGGCAAAACTTTGTAATTTCTTGTTCAAATTGGTTTCAATTGAATTTAATTATATTTTTCCATTTTATTTTATATATTACAGAATAATTATCTACTGTAATTTATTTAGATGAGATGTCAATAAATTATTTTGGTTTAAATTATTTAACTATTGGACTTTTATACAGATTAATTTTATTAAATTCATTACAATTAAAAGAAAATATGTAAAATATGAAATATTAATATAAAGCTTTTACTTTTAAAGTCCTTATCTAATATCATAACAATCTTCGTGTTTAGATTTTTGTTGAGTTTCTGGGAACACTACTCTAGAGTTAAATAATACTGTGTTTTGGGTATTATTTCATAGAAAAAAATTATTATAACTTTACTCTATCTGTGGCTTAAAATTAATCTTTTATATGTGTTTCAATGCATTGCCAAACATTGTAACACAACTAATATTTATTTGATGTAAACATTGAGACAAATTCTGGTATTGAGAAGACAGACAGCTGTGAAAATTTCACCAATTGTTCAATAAAGTGATCGATTGCATAGAATAGTAGTCTCTCTGTTAGTTTTTATCCAACATTAATTTTATAGTAATATAGTCTCGAGTAATCGTTTAACAGAATTAAAAGTAATTACATTACAACTATTCTGTACACGTATATTTTTAAGTGCATTTGTAATTATGCTTAACAAATTGTAAATATGAATGTTAATTGGGAATACAGTATCACAACAGCCATTCCATAGCGTATTGTGTGTAACTGTATATCAATATTTGTTTTGAAAACCTATTGTTACTATAATTCATGTGTTGTGTTACATATGAATTAAATGTGACCATTTAGTTGTTGTAATCATTGGATACAATGTTTTATGCGATACTTACTTATGACTGATAATAATTTGAGCAATAATTTAGTAGTCAGATATATATTACTAAATCATGAGATATGGACTACAATACTAACTTATT